ATAAGTCGACTTCATGTATAATGCGACCCTTGAACTTTTTACATGAATTTTAGTCCTACCAGAAAACTACCTGTGCAGAATGTAACCGGCCACTGAAAATTCATAATTTTTTAACCTCTTCAAAAAATTATTTGTGTATAGTGCGACTCCATTTTTTTGCGTAAAAAAATATTCATAAAAATTAGCACTCTACTGGAGTATATGTGATAAATGGTTGCTTGCTTTTCCTTTTAATGGGGATAAAAAAAAATAGAAAAGAAAGAAACTTCAATTTCGATAAACTACATAACTTCATTTCTCGTGTCCAAATAGCAATTTAATTTCTAAATAGCTTGGTCGAATAGAGTTTCTGTTCATTAGTAGAATTCTTGAATACAGAATCAATTGCGTGACAGGGTGATCAATTCGACCTCTGAACTGTAGGCTGGAATCATTCAATTGGGACAAGAAACAGTTTGTAAATTTTAACGCCTCCAAAAACAAATTGCTGTCTTTTAGTCATCTCATAGAACCATTTTTGTCCGCCATCATCACAGCAGGTACCAACCTACAGGAGAACAACAAATTACACCTCCCCAGCCTCACGTTTGCCACTGACATAGCACGATTACATTTAATAATTTACTAGGTCAGCTGCTAGGAATGTTAGTTCACCCTGTTGTGTCTGAAAATCTTTCTGGTGGCTGTTGCTGCCACGCTTGACTTCCTTTGTCATTGCTTCTCTTTTCTCTTCAGGCTTTGTTTCTCTTTATGAATTAGAAACTCTAACACCGAGAAAGAAAGCGTCAAATAATTAAAAAAAAAAAACCTAGTAAACAATACAATATACATATTACCTGAACGTGCTATCAATTTTTTCTGAAAAAAACTTATGCTGTCTGGTTATTTCTTCGTGGGCCAATATTAAATGTAGTATTTTGGGCTTTATACTTAATCTTACTATTGCCTGCCTTTTGCTACCGCTGCTCCTGCTCCTGCTGACGGCGCATCTACTGCTGCTGTCCTGCTTGACCACCTTCGCCACCACTTTCTTACTGCTGAGAAAGATGATGGTTGATCAAATAATATATAAGTAATCTGGGCAACATATGTAGGAGCTGAACGTGCTCTCAAAACCTTTTTGAAAAGAATGATAATTTTTGTGAAAACAAGATTATAAAGAGAAGTGGATAAAAAATATGACGAGATAGAAAAAGATGGGAACAAAAACGAAAATAAGAGAAACAAAAAAAAAATAATGAAGAAAATAGAAAACTACAAAAGAATTTTAGAAAAATAGTGACTTCTGTTTCGTTTTATTTAATAAAAAAAAGCTTCCCAAAAAAGAGACTAGCTAATGTTAGGCGAAAAAATCAGAAACAAAAAAACATTAGCAGTGGCGACCATATTTATTTCCAAGTGTGTTCTCTCGATCTTTCTGTCTTAATTTGATCCCTAATTTGTCAGTTCTCATTAGCTCAAAAGAAAGACGTGGAGTCGTTCAGGCGGAAGTGGAAGAAGAAAAGTGAAGAAGGGAAAGTATTTACTACTTTGTAATGTCAAAATATAACGCACAAGAAACCAAACGCTATAACGTTTTATGGCAAATTACCTGGAAATTAGACGTCTCCAACATACTTCCCCACTGAACCCCAGCCTGCACCTAATCCTACCACTTTTAGTGTAATAGGGAAGTAGTGTCAGAAGAACGGATCCCCTGTCACCAGACTTCAATTACGTTTTGTTTTGAAGAAGCAAATTGGAAAATCTTGCCAAATTCATTAATCTATTACATATCGTGACGGGTACAAAAAAAAACTGAAAAATTAAATTTTTGAAAATGGTGTGGAATATGAGTGACGATTTTCTTCCATCAATATCGTTTACTCATGGAACAATCTCGAAGAATTAAAAAAAATAAAATCTGAATACTGCGGCTTACTGGTGTATGAAGAAGATTTGACATGTGAATCCATATATAATAACATCTATGTATTTTTTACTACAGTTGACATGAAAATTTGCCGTATAGGACTATTAATTTATTTTCGTAAATTAAATTAAATTTATTAAGACATTCACTGCTACCTTGTATATTTGATCACTTGCCCAATGCCATCTCTGTTTTCATTAGTAATTTTTATTAGAAATTGCTATATAAAGCACACTTACGTTTTATTTTCTGAAATTAAATGAAATTTGTTTACACTGTGCGATGGGTAAATTGTTGCAATTTTATATTTTAATTTCGCGCATGCGCTTTGTTTGTTTTTAATTTGTCGATTGTACAGTATAGTAAGATCGGTTGGGGACAGTCTAGAAGAAAATGAGTACAATGACGTAATTCATTCAGCAAGAAATTTGAAAAAGGTATGCTGTGCTGCTTGAAGCCGGAAGCTCCAATACGACGATTTCAGAGTGTTTGGGTGTGAATCTGAGGACAGTGCAGACGATTCGGAAAGAGCTGGATGATATATCCATTCAGCATGAAGGTGTATAGAGTGATCACTACTGATAGCGAAGTTATACCTCCATTCATCTTCCCACAGGGACTCAGACTCAATACGGAGGCCTACATCAAGTACCTTCAGGAGGTAGACCTGCTCTGGGTCAAGAGGGTGGATGCTGGAAGATCCTATGTCTGCACCATGCCACACAAGCAGGAGAACACAGTGGGCGTAGATGAGCGAGAGATCAACAAAACTCCTTGTAACACCAAAGATGAACTGAAGGCAAGAGTTATGGCAGCATTCACCAAGTTAAACATGGAGACCGTCCAGAAGAGTTGCAAGAGATTCCGAAGTCGTCAAGAGGCCGTTGTTGAAGCCAATGGTGGCGATTTTTTGTATAAATTTACTCTTTAGTATTTCAAGATATTTTTTGTGTCATTTTGATAAATATATCTGTTAAAATGAAATGTCAGGGTTATATTCTCATTTTTGCGTAATTTGGACGACAATTTATCCATCGCACCGTATATATTCTCTGTTATCTTGGATATTTATTGATAATATGGGACATACTTCAACTATACTGTGTGAACCTTAGTTATAATTTCTGGGAGAGAGAGAATGCATAATCTGGTGTGATCAGTATTTGGGTAATGTCGGTTAAGTTTGAACCGTTGGTCAGGACAACTTGTGACGGCTTTGAACTGTTGGTTTCGAAGAATCGTGAGTTCGTTTTTTGTTGTAATTATTTTGCTTTATTTTAGTCATATCATCTCAAGCAAGGTAATAAAACCACTAAGGTGCAAGGGGTTACTGAGAATGAAAGAAACAAAGAGGACAATAAAACAACGGATTTCAATGAGACAGATGATGATGATTGATACTGTATTTAGTTTTTTGGAGATTGTAGTTGACAGGAAAGCAGAAAGCCAGGAGAGTGTTATGAGACCTACCCGCCACTCTAGCACAGCCTTTAAAGTCATGAAGTCGAGGTACCAAACTAAGAAGCTCAAATGAATTACCGCGAAAATATATATAGAAAAGACAAGGAAAACTACATTATGGCGATGGGAAATTGGCTAAAGCCGAGATGCCTGGTCAGTAGCGATAACGTTGCAAATTCTTCCTTAGATTTCGTCAAAAATCCCTCGGTAGGAAACAGAAGAACCAGGCCAAATGTGGCAGCAATGTTCGATGCCTGAGTGAATGGTAAACTTATAAAGTTGCAATCAAAAATAGATAAAGCTTTAAAGGAGATGAAACACCGAAAGTCGGTAACTAGTGAAATGAACAATATAGATATTTACTAGTTATTTTTATCTTGATAGAGCTTTAAAGTGGATGACACAACTAAAGTATGCAACCAATGCATTTAGATATTCAAGATGTATTCTAGTCTGACACAAGGCTCCGACAATAGAGCCTTAAAGAGAATGAAACACCGGCAATGTCGAAAAAAATTGTCTAACATGACATAGTGAACAGACTTTTCGAGTAGCAAAGTTAGCAATTGATTCGATATAATCATCTCATTTCATAACGTGTACACACATTGACTGCTACTTTGGATATCTTAACCCTAACTTAATGTCATCTATGTTTTTGCTGGACTTATAAGAGAATGCTATATAAGACAAAATAAGGTTACTGTGGTAGATAACATAATATTTAATAAATACAACCCATGACATAACCGTTACATAAAAATTAACACCTTCACTGCTACCTTGGATCCTTGAAAGCATGTATAATGCTATATATCAGTGTTACCAATAAAATTTACGTCCTGATTAAGACAATAAACTGCATCCGCGTCCTGGGTAAGACGATAAACTACATCCGGCAGCAAGGCCTCTGATCAGGACATTTTTAAGGTGCATGGAACCACCTTGACCCGGGGTGGTAGCACCTGTTAGGGTCCCAACTATGGACAAATAGTTAACCCCCAATCTGAGGTCAAAACACTATGAAAATGTAAAAACTGGTTTTAATACCAGCAATATATTTTTGTAAAAGATTATTACCAGCAATATATATTTTTAAGACAAAAATTACCAACACTACATTTTTGAAGAAAAAAAAATATTATCGGCAATACATTTTTGAAAAAAAAAATTTTTCCAGCAATAATTCTTTTGAAAAAAATACATTAGTAGCAATGCATTTTTTAAAAAAATAGTACCAGCAATAAAAATGAGGTTGATATGCCGTAAAACAAAACAAACCAAAACCAAACCATTAAAATATCTATATAGTACTATTTATGATTTATTTTGTTAAATTTAATTGAATTACAAAGAATAGGGCCCATATGTATGTATCCTCAGCACTCGCTTTTTCCCCTAGTGTCATGCGACACAAATATGTCACCTTTATATTATAATTGTTTCTCAGCAAAAATAACTCGATAAATCCCGAAATAGACAAACGGTCTTCCTGTGTATCTATTGTCAGAGGTAATATACAGCATACATAAAAAGACACACATGTAATGGATGTGTGGCTGTAAACGAGTTAACAATCATTACAACAATAATAATAATAATAATCCAATGAAAGTAAAGGTCTTACCTGCAATAAATTACTTTGAGCACTTTGCATTTTCATTGCGCCTCGACTGAGAATAATAATACGACGGATGATAAGAGTGTTAAAAAATAATATGGCGACGAACGGGAGGAAAGAATAAAAGATGGCGTCGATCCATGGCCAAGCTACGCTGACGAGGTAGTGAAAATTCTTCCGGCTGCCGCAGTAGTGTTTGTCGACACCGTTCAAGTCTAGCTGATTGAGCGTTACCGTCCAAAAGAAGTGAACATGAATAAGCACGAACAACACGAGAAGGCCCAGTACGACTCGCTTGGCGCGGGGTACCGTACAGAATTTATTCACTTTCAGCGGATGACACACAACAATGTACCGTTCTACTGTGACGGCAATGATCAACCAAACAGACAGGTTACTGCTGACATAACCACTGAAGATGACCAGCTTGCAGAGCCAGGCAGTCTGGTTTCGGATATCCATGCCTGTTAGTTCACTTATCCACAGTCGGAGAAGGCCGATATATAGAACCATTGAATCGGCCACAGCCAGATGAATTAGGTAGACGTAAGCCGACATTCGAATCATGGACCGCTGACGCATAATAAACACGGAAAATATATTACCGAAGGTGCCCAATACGAGTAAGAGCGGCGAAACGTAGAGGAGGAGAATCTTGTGGAGCCTGTATTCCGGATAGGCAAATAGTGTCTGTGAATCGTCCAGCAATGCAAATACATCCCTTTCTTGGTTGAGACCGAGCATGCGCAGTAGGAGCTGTTTCTTGTCTGAGGGAAGTTGGCCAAACAGACTTAAGACTTGCGATATGTTGTCTGCGTTGAACGACATCAGATTTCTATTATCTGTCGCCATTCTGGAAAATAATATATAAAAACTATGAAGATTGTCGGGGCATTTTTTTCTGGTAAGAATCTAGTAAGATTTCTAGCCAGGAAGCTTTAATAATAAGTATAAAAACCTACTTTACAAGGAAAAGATGTACGATTTGAAGTCAAAAACACACAATGTCTAGAGAAAAAAGAAGTTGGAATTAGACAATTTCTGAACAGATCTATCACAAGAGCACGTATGAATAAATAAATATGACGACAAAGATGAGGACAATAGTCTGAATAATGTAAATATTGTACATAATACCTCATCTCAGAAATATAGACAGATACGTATGAATTCCTATTTTGAAAACTGCACTATTGTTAAATTTTATCCTCCACAACTTTACCTTGTGGGGATATATAAAAAGCCAAAACACGATTTATATGTGTACGGGGTGAGTGAGTGAGTCAGTGAATGAGAGAGAGAGAGTGAGAGAAGAGAAGAGAGAGAGATCAATCCATAAATCGTGCCCTAAATATGGCCAAGATAGATTAAATAGTTTCTCTATTCTACAGGGTGTCCATAAATCTGTACAAATAGGAAATCTCATTAACTATATTTTTTTTTACCTCCACAGATTAAAGATGGTTTTGCCAAAAGAAGAAAGAATTAACTTCTTTTTCTGTGGTATGCTATAGGAGAAGGTGTGCTGAATGAAAATCACAGATGCAACACACTTGTTTGAATTCATAAACAGTGAATGGGCTAAAATTGATGGCAATGTGGAGTTATTGTATCGAGTTCACGTGAATCTTGCAAAATTCATCAACCTTTGTAACACAAATGGTGTGAATCTTATTGAAGATGTTATTTTTTCATATTCCAATGATGTTGAAAATTTAATTTCTTAAAAATATAGATTTTTGCATATGTGTCCAGATTTTAGGGACACGCCCTGTAGAAAAGTGTTTCCCAACGTGGGCGCTAGCATCGCCTTGCGGGCTCTGTTATGCTAAAAGTGGGCACTGGGAGATTTTGTTTAATTTCGGGGGCGCTGAACGTATTCAGGGGCAGTAGGCATTTATCCATTTTCAAAAATGATTCAATATTGGCGACAGAATGTAATTTCTAAAATCGAACTTTTCTTCATTGCTTTTCCAACTTCCTATATGGTTGAATGTGGTTTCAACGCAGCTTCTTACTGAAAAAAGAAACTGACTCCAAATTACAAAACGAGAAGAATACTTACGATTACTTCTAAGCAGCATGGTACCTAGAGTAAAAACCTTAGTCAGTAAGCATCAAAGTCAACCAACGCACTGAAAACATTGAGATACGTTCTCAAATAAAATTCTTTTTAGCAATTAATCATTGGCATTCATAAGAGAAATGAAACAATATTAAAATTATTTTTTACTAATACCTAAGTGTTATCTTGCTATGAAAGATGAATTCAGTATAATATTCGAAATGTAATTTGGCAGGGTGGCGTTTGGCAGGAGTATGTTCCCAAAGGGGCGCTGGTTGAAAAAAGGTTTGGAAACTGATATGTCCCAGAAAGGGATATATTTGTTCGAAGTAGCAAATTGGTTTTGGACTACTGTAACCGAGCAGGACAATCTAGCAGGTAACCGTAATGAACTGGTCCTCGTCGTAGTGGTAGGCAATAAGCGTAGGCAATAGGCGAAGACTATAGGCGTAGCCAATAAGCGTCGTCCTGTACTTGCACATCAGTCTGTATTTATGGCTGACACCAGCCAATCATATTACTGTGCGGAGGAACCAATTGTATGCATATTCATTACATCAGGAACACAGCTGTAGAATGCCTGCAAGATAATACATTATCATTTCATCCCATTTAACAGCAATAGATTGACTGTATCTTCGCTGTTACACGAAATGATAACGCATTCTATCAGAAAATCTTAGGAGTAATGCATAATATTTCATAGGTTGATAATTGTGCTATTCTGAAATGTCTAAATAATAGCAATATATGCTATTAGGATGTCTCCTAAGTAATATCCGAAATTTAATAAAGATAGCTTCAATGATATTTCAGCTATACTTAAAAAGCTTAAATCGTAACAGTATAAGCTAATAAACGTTAATAGAATTTTAAACGAAGTCGTTACGTCGTCACAGCGCGATTCAACTAATTTGACTCTCCTTAGATTGGACATGTCTATAAAACATATAAGACATGCAATAATCTGTAAGGTTAGAAAGAGCGATAATAAAGAAGATTCTTGAAATCCTTAAGGTTTTCATGGTTCGTTAAACAAAACTGCCGAAATTTAAAAAAAATAGATGATTTCAGTCGAATAGGAACGCCTCGAATAACGGTTTTATCAAAGCAAATGATCGTTTGATTTTTTTTTCAGAATCCGATAGAAATATCACTGTTACAGTTGAAGAATTAGCTCAAAAACTGAATCCAGTTCATTCAAAGGATCACTGTTTTCTTCAACTCGGAAAAGGCTCCACGTGATCTAATAGAAACTAAATACGATTAACCATCTCTAATTCTCTGCACTCTCGCAAACACATATCGGTATGTTGAACTCGTTAGCGACTGCTGATGAAAAAAAAATAGAAATGATGAAAGAATAGGGACTTACCACAAATATTTTTGATTCTTTATTTTACAAAAGCTTTTGAAAAGTGGTTGCATTAAAAACAATGCTAAAAACGTACGCGGGTGCGTTTTACCGACATTCATTTGCTATACCAATTAATGTAATGCTTGTGTGGAGAATTTCCATTGTAATCTGGTACCTTTTGACGCAAATATAAGCTACTAACATTTACCTTTCCCCGAAACAAGTAAATATAATGACAAAACAGAGTAGTTCACATGAGTGATGGGAGATAGTGGCAGATCAGGTTGCTCTCCCCCCTACCATCAAGTACTCAACAGTTGGCGTTGAAATCTGAATCGGCAGCCACGCGTTCAACCATTTGGCCCCAGAGGACTAAGGAAAATGGGAAGCTCATTTGGCTTCCAGCGAGAAAATAAATAAATTTTGTATATTAACAAACCAACAATGACTGGCATGTCGTAAAATCAACCACACTTTGTAGTCAATATTTTTACGCAACTACTTTTTACGGTTTCCTACACACGCACACATACTCCCAGTTTTAGATAGTAAAATTCAGAAGATTCTTCCTGAATAAAATTTGTCTTGTTTGCTTACGATGAGGTAACAGTGTAAATATTTTTTTTGTATTGAAACTAGTAAAAGAAAGGGAGAAGAATGTACTAATCATAAGTGCGTTCGTCTGGTATTCACAGTTCTGCTGATCGGGAGTATCTCAATATTTATTGTATATAAGTGCTGTGGTGTCTTCCCACTAAAGTGTCTATGTTGGACTCTTCCGCCTACTATAAGATTAATAGGAGAGAAGGCCTTGAGAGAACAGTGCTAGACTGTTTGTAACTGTCGAACTCTCTGCCTTGAGCAGAGAGGAACCCGGACGAGGCTTTGCCGAAGAGAATATTTTTGGCCGAGCCTACGGGCTACGGTAAACTCGGCCTTGTGCCACAGACATCCCTCGTGGGGTGGGGACTGTTAGATATTAACAGTCGCCTAGATTGTTCAACTGTCGAACTCTCTGCCTTGAGCAGAGAGGAACCCGGACGAGGCTTTGCCGAAGAGAATATTTTGGCCGAGCCTACGGGCTGCGGTAAACTCGGCCTTGTGCCACAGACATCCCTCGTGGGGTGGGGGCTGTTAGATATTAACAGTCGCCTAGATTGTTCAACTGTCGAACTCTCTGCCTTGAATAGAGAGGAACCCGGACGAAGCTGTGCCGAAGGGCAAATTTCGTCCGGGGAGGTAGACAGGTCCTAAACCCGTTTATGGCGGGTTTTAAGGGAATATTTTTGGCCGAGCCTACAAGCTCGAAGAACCCACGGTAAACTCGGCATTGTGCCGCATACATGGAGGGGTGCTGTTAAACATTAACAGTCGAATAAATTGAACGCTGGGTCAACCGGCACAAACTCACTAGTTGTGTTATACTCTTCTGTTGTACTTACTGTTTAATATATGATATATCTGCAACACTTGTTTTGTTATTTCTTTAACCATTTACTTGGCTACAACGATGAAAATACACAATTTTGGCACATAGCCTAAAAAGTGGGGAGGGATTAAACCTGGTTTTCACTTATTATCTTATACCTAGCTAATCAGATTCACAACCATTCACTCGTTACAATTTGCACATTCACCACAAGAACTCATCCGTCATCAATCAACTCTCCATAATACCGCATACTCTCAGGGAACCTAAAAAACGCACAGTGTGTCGTATAAAATTGACAATTATAATAATTTATACATAAGAATTTGATGATTTACAGTGAGAGGGGAGGGGATGAACCCAAAAACAAAACTAAAATATCAAAACAAACAAAATAAAAATAACTGATGTTAGTTGGACCCGTCTGACCCTCAAAAAGGAGAGGCCGATATATTCTGCCTTTAGACAAAATCAAAAAGCTCTCTCACTACGCGAATGGGATAGGATAAAAAATAAAATACGGCCAAGGAAAACCCTGACCCTGCCCAGATGAAAAAGTGGCAAAAAACAAACGGGGTAGGTTAGAAATCTTGGATCATGACCAAAGAAACAGCCGGGAACAGTCCGGGAAGGACACTTACTCAAATTAACTAGGTACACAAGAAGGGTCTATCCTAACCAGAGGAGGGCTCTTCAGGAAATCGCCCCGATATGACAGGGAAAGCTAAAAAAAAAGAAAATCAAGGCTAACCTCTTTCACGCAGAAATCTGTTGAAATCAATCGATTTCTATCAGTTCTAATCTTCATCTTGAGCTCATTCTCAAAGAATCGAACCAGATCCTGATCAGAAAGATCGTTACCTCGCAAAACTTCCTTCTGACGTGTCATCCAAATCACCATTCGGGCCATGGCTCGTAGAGACATAAATACCATTCGTTTCACCTCGGGAGCGATACGAGTTGTCAATTTGCCGACATGGTCCCATAGGGGGCGGACACGAG